ATAACCCTAAAACTATACTCTCTCATCTTATTTTCTTACAAAAGTGATGTTGATGAAGTTACCAACATGTGTTAAGCATGTTATAGAATTATGTTGGATGTAATTTGATTGATTTTCTAGCTTTGATTGGACCAATAAAATTTATGTATTGTAAGTTATTTACTTTCATTTGAAATTATGAGATTGAATTATTATAGCTTTGTGAAGAGGCTTTAACTTACTTGTGAGATTAATGTATATTAAGTTATTAATTATCTTGCATTTTTATTATTATTTCAACAAAATTAACGTTAAATACAAGTTCAAAATTAACAATGAATTTTTATTTTTTAATATTTTAATGACATTAAATATAAACTTAAAATTATTTATAATATAATTTTTTTAATTTATTAAAAGATTTATAAATATCCATGGATATCCGTGGATATCCGTGGGTATTTAAGAAATTCATGGATACCCGCTTAATGGATACCCGGATGGCAAAAATATCCGCACCCGCAGGTATCTGTGAGTAAAATTCGTTACGGTTAATAAATGGATAGGCTAATTGGGTACCCACAGATAATGGGGACGGATAATTTTTTACCCGTTTATAAACGGGGCGGGGGTGGGTATGATGATATCCATACCCGCGGGTACCCGTTTAATAATATTTCTTAAATATCATAATTATCCTTGTACCACATAACCCTAAAATTATACTCTCTCATCTTATTTTCTTACAAAAGTGATGTTGACGAAGTTACCAACATGTGTTAAGCATGTTATAGAATTATGTTGGATGTAATTTAATTGATTTTCTAGCTTTGATTAGACCCATAAAATTTATGTATTATAAGTTATTTACTTTCATTTGAAATTATGAGATTGAATTATTGTAGTTTTATGATGAGACTTTAACTTACTTGTGAGATTAATGTATATTAAGTTATTAATTATCTTGCATTTTTATTATTATTTCAACAAAATTAACGTTAAATACAAGCTCAAAATTAACAATGAATTTTTATTTTTTTAATATTTTAATGACATTAAATATAAACTTAAAATTATTTATAATATAATTTTTTTAATTTATTAAAAAATTATAAATATCCATGGATATCCATGAATATCCGTGGGTATGGACCACTTACTAAACTTCACTATCAGAGACTTCACCCAAAATAAAATTACTCTTCAAACTCCAACTCAATACTCTCAACTCTCAACTTCCACATAAAATAATTCTTATTAAAATAAACAAATTAATCAAAGAAGCACACTGAAAAAATAATCATCATAGATTATTTAAAATTATATTCCTCATATATAATAACTCTTACTATATATATATATATTTTTTTTATAAATTTTCTTATTCTATAATTTTTGTTATATAAAATATTATACTAATAAATTGTATAAGTATACAACCGAGTGTTGACATTTTATTTATTTATTTATTATATATTAGATCCTAGTGTTAACGTTAGTATTGCAATCTCCTTTGAGAATATCTTCCTACATTATTTTAAAAAAAATTCAAGTAGGGTAAGTTTTTTTCAATTTTTTTAAATGAGTATTTTTTTTAATTCTGAAAATGGACAATTGTGTTTCAAAACACGTGTTCTATTTTTTTTTAACACTAACTCAAACCACAACTTTTCTTTTCTTTTTTTTAATTTTACATAAAACTACGACTTTAAGTTATAAAAATTGAAGAGGTTGAGCTATCAAGCATGAATTTAATTTATGGGTAAAAAAAATTTCATGATTCGAAACACGATATAAACACTGTTTATCTATTTTTTAAAATAATACTTATTTAAAAAAAGTATTATAAATATACCATTTTTATTTTAAAAATATAGTTTAATTATGCATTGGCAGCGTAACATATTTCTACCATGTCAATCAATTACAATATATTTTTATATAACTTTTAAAATTGTTATCTAAAAACTAACGAGTATATCATGCGTGACTTATATTAGTAAATAATAATGTAATTTATACTTTTAGAGAGCGTTTGAATGGAAAGAAAGTTTTTCATATTCAAAAAAATATGATTATTGTGAATTATAAGTCATGGAAATTATATTTTTTTTAGAATAATTAAAATTTGTTTGATTGTTTATAAATTTTTTTGAAATATTTATATAAAATTTTAAAAAATTAAAGATTTTTATGTTTAATTATAATAATATTTTTTTAAAATATATAAATATTTTTAGGTTCATTCAAAGGGTTGAATAGCTGGCCCCAAGATTTAACACGGCTGCATACACAAGGCAGGATTCAAACCCCTGACCTTGCTTAAGCATAGATCAACCCTTACCGCTGAACCACACGCTTGAGGTTCATCCAATTATATATTTTAGTTGTGTCATGTCATTATAAACAGTGACATGGCACAATTAAAAGATATAATTGGTTGCTAGTGTAAAAAAACTTTACACTGATAGTGTATAGGTAATTAATTCATTAAAGTATATGTTATGACCGAAATCATAAGTTAAAGAAAATATAATAATAATAATAATAATAATAATAAATAGTTCTCTAATTCATATTTTCTTTAAATTGAATTTCATCTTGTAAGCAAACATTCCAAAATTAAAATAAAAAAGGAAAAGAAAACAATACTAACAATCTTGTGCACTTTCGAGAGCAAAGGGTCCTATAGCCAGAGACTTAAGAGACCTCAATATACTCCTATGTGTGACCTAAAACTAAAAATGTCAGACACATTTATTATTGGACCACTAAAGTAATTGAGACCACCACTATGATTCAATATAAATATTTTTAAAAAACTTATATTCGAAAATAATCAATAAAGTATTTTAACCACTAAACAATACAGTAATACTTTTTATTCTTTTATTAACTTTTGTAAAACTTAAATATAAGTAATTGAGTTCTATGTTTTCAGCTTATACATATATTTTTGAATTTAATAAACATATATGGTGAGTGTAATCGGTTAAAAGTGGGACAATCATTAAAGAGTTTTATGTGTGTTATGTTATGTCATTTTAATACAAATTTCTAATAAAAAAAATACTAATATACATTCAAGGACAAATTAGTAATCTTACTTGTACTTTAATTTACCTTTTTTTCTATTCATCTCAACCAAACAATTTATTATATTATTTTTCT